GTTTATACCTATCCAGGGCACTGGAGTCTGCTGTCGATAGTCAGCTTCCTCCAAGGCAATGTCTTCTCCAGAAGGGAGTTGCCTGCTTCTCCTTCTGTATCGGTAGGTTGGATGCTGGATTAGAGGGCACCCTCGAGGGTCATGCTTCGCTGCCTTTTATCTCCAGCAGTCTTTTGTGATCCCTCAGCATCATCTTGGCTGTCCAATCTGGAGGTTGCTGTCCCACATGGGTCTTGAGTAGTGCATGACAGCTGTTAATCACATTTACTGGAGGTTCCGACCAATGGTACAGTTTTGGGAGTCCACCCTTGACTTGATTGATTCAATGGCTGTGTCCTTGCAGGTTTCAAGTGGCTTGATTAGCTTAAAATGGCTTGTAGAGTAGAGTTTTGTAATGGTAAATTCCTCTGGCTAGGCTATTGTCAATTAACAGCCAGAGGCTCTTGCTTTGTCATTCAATTATCTACTGATTCATGCATACTAGCATTCACTCAGGGGACCACCCAATACAGCAATAAAATTCCAATGAGCACAATTCCAATGCATTCTTATAATTATAATTTCAGTAATACAAGGTATGACTTACTCTAAAGCAGGGGTGGCCAATTATTTTGGGCGGAGGGCCGCTTACTGAGTTTTATCAAGCAATCAAGGGCCGCATGACAGGCAGCCAGGGACAGATAAATATTAATTTTCTAAATTTTTGGGGGGCCCCACAGGCTGAATGGAATGCTCTGGTGGGCCACATCCAGCCTGCAGGCTGCATTTTACCCACCCCTGCTCTAAAGAATACATTAATTAGCCTGATAATCTGTAAAGTCCCTTCCAGACCCTAACAACTATGAAAAGTTTAAAAGGTATAAAACATAAAATACAGAATGCCAGGGTAAAGATGAGACAGAAGAAATATAAAAATGCACTGTGAGAAATATATAAAAACGCAAGTGAGGCAGTGAGGATCAAAGGCCACTGGGGACAGTAAGCAAGTTAGGTTAGATGCAGTCAGGTAGACTGATTTAGCATAAAACTTTAGTCAGATATGGGAAGTTTGCTTTGGGAAATAGGTCTTAAAGGGGGAATGTGTTCACCAGTATATATTTAGTCATGTTTTCAATGCACCTTGGCATTTCTTGTCTCTTACAGGCTTTGCTTTGAAGTGGATATTTTAGTTCTTTGTTTTCTTTAGTGACAGCTCAATTGACATGTAGATGTAGTTTGTAGATTTCTCCTACAGAAAGCCAGTTCAGCTTTCTGGCTTGCTCTGAGCCTTGTCACACCCACACAATGAGTGTGCTAGGTCTCTGCAAGAAGGGACTTCTTGTTACAAAATTACAATTCTTGTTACAATTGTGAGAAATAGTTCAACATGATAATTATTTTTCCTTTATTAGGCAGAAATGAATGGTAGCTCATTTTTATTTCAATTTTTCCAAAGAAGCATCATTCTCGTTAGCCACAGCTGCAACACCAAGAAGGCTTCACTACATTACCTTGCATAGGATAAGACTTTGTTTTAAAACCCTAATTCTGTTTCTGTATATTTTTTACAAAACAGACTATAGCATTATTAATATACATGTGAAATGTGATAACATATCATGTTTCTATTGCTCTACACTAGAACAGGGGTTCCCAAACTGTGGTACATATACCTCTGGGGTACACAGGAGAAACTGCATAATGGTGGATTTAATTTTCATTATAATAATTGGCATTTAAGAAGTTAAAATATAAAACATATGCTGGTAGGAGTATGCAAGTAACTGATAAATCCCGAAGGGATATGCAATAAGAAAAAAATTGGGAACCTCTGCAGTAGAATAATCAGGGTTTCTCCTTTGGGGTCTGTAACTCAGTCCTTCGAATTTGTGGTTTTATTTATCCACTTGTGAACCTACTGATTGTATGATTGATGACAGTTAACATATTATTATACAAGGGTAGCTACATTGCTCTGATGCATTTTGACTGACTGGTGGATTTTCTCTTTTATGGCAGCTAATGTTTGTGGAGTAATTAGCACTGCAGCAAATGCAGAAGGATATAAGAAGTGCCATTCTTGTGGAGAATTACCATGTCTGATTTTGACTGGATAATTCAATTGATTGGGGTTGCACAGCTCTGTGCAGTTCTGTGGTGTTTGATGCCAGTGGAGGGAAGGGGAAGAAAGCATTTCTATATAGGAACATTTTAATGGAATTTAGAGGTGTGCTGCCAAAATATCAAAGTAAGTAGTCCACTGGACTAATATTCTAAAATCCAAGTACCCTGATAATGAATTACTTGTAATCTATGGTAAATGTATAAAGCATCTGAAGAAAATTGCTCTTAGGATCTTCACAAGCATGTTTCTACTTCTATATGGCAAATCATTGACATATTGTCACATAGAAGTCAAGATAACATACAGTATGCTGAATTGTACAGGAAGTGAATGGAACTGGCATATACTGCTGATATTCTCTATTTGTTAGATGTTTCCAAGGTTTCTTTACTATGCAATCGATTTTTAATGCACTGCTGATCTAGAAGGAAAGTTCATTGCTGTAGCAAAATTGGAACTGACAGCTGGAAATATTAAACTTTCATATCTTAGTCAGGGACAAAGTTGGAAAAACTTTACCCTGCTGGAACTCAGAATACTTTTAAATTAGAGAAGATAGCTTGTGATGACTGTCTCACCTTCAGTTGCAGAATGTTCAGAACATCAAATCATATCATAAATGCTCCTTTAAGCAAAAAGAATAGATGTTCTTAAATTTTCTAGGCCAGTTTCCTTTGCGTTATAGGTGTAGAAAATCCACTGAAATCAATGGATTTGCATAGGCCTAATCAAACTTTCTGAAATGAAATATCACTTCTGCTGTGACAATAAATATGGGGGATTTGAATGTGGGGGGTATTTTCTTACCATAATTCCTAAATGCTTGAAGAATACAGGCTTACATTGACAAAATATTTTAACTCTAACTATGCTATCGCTTCTAAGATGATCTGAATAACTTTTTAGCAAACCTTGTAATGTTAAAAGGCTTAAGAGTGTTTTCCAACCAGTGTGTCACAGCACAAAAGTGTGCTGTCAGAAATGAATAGGTGTGCCACAGAATTTTGCCATGGCAATGAGCTACAATAGGTATGTGAATGGGGAATGTCTTAACAGGTGTGCCGTGGTAAATTTTTATTGAAGTAAGTGTGCCTTGGGCTGGCAAAGGTTGGGAAACACTGGCTTGAGATGTATTATAAACTTATAAATCTGGAAACTTTGAAAACATTCAGTAGGAGGAGCTGTGTATAAGAGCTGTGATCTTTCAAACACATATGTGAATTGCCTCATGAAGTTGAGTCGGGACTACTGTGATGAGTAAAGTTATTCAAGTGCTCAAGTTTTTGAAGTATGGGATCATGAAGTGGTTATTTCCTCCTGACTGTGGTTTCCTTTGAGATTGGTACAATGCCAAGTCTTGACAAATAGGTAGCTTCCTTGCTTTGCTCACACGCACAAAAAAGTTGAGGATTGATCTTAACAAGTGAAAGCCAGACTGAACATTTGCTGTTGCTATAGACAGTGAACAACCTCCCTTGACATGATGAAAATAAAGGCAGTGATTATTCACATAGTATGTTTGATTTGCTTCTTGAGGAACCTATTCATTTTGTACTTTGTCTTTTAGAGTTTGAGCAACAGAGCTTGTCTCTGATAAAGGAAGAAGGGAAATAAATATTGTAACACAGTCTTTTGTGGAAGCCATGTACTATAGCTGTTTTTGAGTTTTTACCTGTGATATAGCTAGAAATAACTGATCTTTAAGGGATAGCCTGTCTCTTTAATGCTTTAATAATTTAAACCTCTTTAGTCATTCTGGATTAATTTTACTAATCTAATGGAATGGAAGCTAGAGGATTTTATCAACCTTATTGTGGTTTTGCAGTTATTACTGAAGAGGTATCTTTCAAATCCTTATCACTGGATTAAAATTATAGTACTCTGAAACCCACCAGCCAGTCTATAGGGACTAGGGAGACCTGCAAAAATGCCGTGCTTCAGGTGCAAAGTTTAGATCTGCAGGTGAGACAAACAAGGTCCTTTCATTAGAAGCCGGCTAAAATCTCTTACCATGAAACAAAAATATCTGTTACCAGGGTCTGACTTTATTTTTAATTTCTCTGTTCTCTTTTACTTATTGTTAAACTAAGTTTTCAGATGAGCTCTCAATAGCTCTCTCCTTTTCCATATACAAAACTTAGGCTCTGAAAATGTGTAAATGCAGAATTGTGTTTGCTTATTGCAGGTGCTAAAAGGAAAAGGTGGTTTTTGAAAATTTAGCCGTATATTTGGAAAGCCCTATACGTTTCAAAAAGTTTCTGTTCAAAAGATTCTGTGGAATGTACAGCAGCACCATCATAAATGTAACCAACTGCATATACTTGGGACTGTATGATGCGTATGTAGTCACAAAAACTTACTAATGCCTATTGGCAAGCAAAAAATTCCAGTCAGAAAGCAGGACATTTTTTCTCGTTGCTGATTAATCTACCACCTGTAAAAGCACTGTAGCTATATCATCTGTGTGAACTGAATTGGAGAGTACTGTGCTAAAAAACCATGAGCCTCTCCTTTGTGGGCTGAAGGACCAGATCCATTACTTTGAAGGCAGTATCAAACTCATAAACCTCTGTTGATTAGTTCCTAAATATTGCCTAGAATAAGGGTGTCAGACACAACTGTTATGCATTTTGTTTTGAGTATGGTGACATTCTCTTTGGATAGGTTGCTTATCCTCTCCGTGTCCTGAGGTATCATCTGTGAAAGCAATATGGAAATCCATCAAGAGTATTTTACTTGAAGGGTTCTCTGATGAGAGGTGGGAGTGATTTTAAGATTGGTTCTCCATGTCATTTCTACCATTTCACCCTACTGGCCAGTAGAACATTTTACCTGCTGGTGATTTTGTGTTTGCTTATAAGGGTTTTAACATTTTTTAAATTTTTTTTTTACTTAGCTTCTCATGTGTCTCACTTAGAGAATGTGTCTGAAGAAGAAATGAATAGGCTGTTGGGGATAGTGTTGGATGTGGAATATCTTTTCACCTGTGTCCACAAAGAAGAAGATGCGGACACCAAACAAGTTTACTTTTACCTGTTCAAGGTAAGCTGAAGATGTGTAACATCTTTTCAGATTTTTAATTTGTTTATATTTATATTGATTTAATTTCCTAATGGCCCATTATATTTAGATTGCCTTGGTACTGCTTTTAGGGTAAATTCTTATTTCTCTAAGGTAATGTTAAACTGGTTAATTCTGGGTAGATTTTGCCATGACTGTACTACAGTATTTTATTGCAAGTAATTCCAGTGATTTAAATCTCTGTCCCAAAGTCAACATCCATGTTATTTTCTACCATCAATGCAACTTTTCTTGATCATTAATCATGCAAAGCCAGTTAACAATGAAGTTACAGGAAGTCCTCGGACTTATGACCACATTTGGTTCCTGAAAACTGTATCTTAAATTGAAACGTTGCAACTCCGAACTAATTTTCCCATAGGAAACAATGTTATAAATGGGGGATTGGTTCCTGAACCAAGGCCTGGTACCCTATTTTCACCAAAAATAACCCAGAATTTTATACTTAATCAATTATAGATGAGTATAATATAGCTACTTTCATGTATTTATATTGTAAATAGCAATCACATTGAAATCATATTGGAAGGACTTCTTTGAAGTGACTTTGCTGGACTTTTTGAAGAGCTCTTTTTTGGGCTTTTTGAAGGGTTCTTGGCTGGAGTCTTCTCAGGAGTCTTGGCTGCTTTGTTTTTCTGGAATCTTGTCTGCTTTGTTAAAGAAAGTGTCCAAGGAAGTTTGGGATGTTCTCCTCTTTTGCTTGTTAATTTCTCTGTAGCAGCTGCACTCTGGGGGCTATGGGTGGCTGCGGAAGATGCTGCAGTTCATCTGTCTACTTCCCCTGTGGCGAAGTGGGCAATGCTGGGCTACGCTCTGGTGGTGCTGGGAATGGGGGCTGTGGGTGGCCGCAGGAGAATTTGCAGCTTGTCCAGCTGCTTCCCCCGTGGCAAGACAGAAGGAATTGGAAATGGGGGCTCTGCCCTGCCACCGCTTGTCCGGCTGGGGCAGGGGGGCATGGGGAGGAGGCAATGCATTGCCTCAGACAAGAGGTGTGCAGCAGCAGAGCCGCTCTAGCCTTTCTGCACCTCCCGGATGAGCCAGTTTTGCTCTGGCCCTGTGAGTGATGGCAGGGCGTGGCAGGGGTATGTGCCCCGGATCTGCTTGGGGTGGCCTGGGCTGGGGCTGCTCTGGGTGGGTGGCGAGGGCCATGGGGAATTTTAGGGTAGCTGTAGCCAGCCATAGCCACTGCTCTGCTGCCCACCTTGCACAAATCCGGGGGCACATGCCCCGGCCGTGACCTGCAGCTGCTACCATTTGGTGGGGCAAAACCGCAGCTCACCCAGGAGACATGGGGAGGCTGGAGGCCTCCGCCCCATGCCACCCTACCCCAGCTGGACGAGTGGGGAGAGGGCAGAGCTCCCACTCCCAGCACCTTCCGCCTAACACACAGCCCTGGCCCCAGCCCCAGCCCCGCCAAACAGGTCCCTGGCACACGCCCAGCCCCATAGCCCCCCAGACCTGTGGTGTGCAGCGGCAGGAGCCACCCCACCCCCTCCCCATGCCCTCCTGCCCTGGCTGGGTAGTGGTTGCCCCAGTCCAGGTCTCAGCCCCAGCCACAATCCCTCCCTTGTTGTGGGGGCTTTGATTTGCCTCCCTGTGCCTCTTCCCTCTCCTCTCCCCCCTCACCACAACAGATTTACCAGCTGGATGCAGGTGTGTCCAGCATTGTAAAGGTGAAACCTGCCTCGGAACATCGAAACAGGGTGTTAATTTACAGATGTTGTAAGTGCCATTCGACGCAACTTGAAATGTCATAAGTTGAGGACTGCCTGTAATTTAGTTTTATGGGACTTAGTCTTTCTTTGGTGCCATTCAGGAGGCAAGGCAATTAACTCTGAAACTAATGTAGCAGTGAATAAAGACTGTAGTGTATGCCACCAATTTTTAATAATAGTTGTATGACTATGGCTTTTGCTGACTGTCAGCTGTTAACCATTTAAAAAAGTAACATTGCTTTTTTGTAGCTTTTGAGGAAATGCATTTTACAGATGGGGAAACCTGTAGTAGAAGGATCTTTGGAAAGCCCTCCATTTGAAAAGCCCAGTATTGAACAGGTAAACATGATTTTTTTTAATACAAGCAGTGCAGCAGTCCAAATATTTCTTGAAGGCAGGGAGATTTAGGCAAGATGGGAATATTTCACGTCATTTTGAGCAAAAGTGAATAGTCCAGATTTACATGAGGATGATTTTAGTCTCTTAGTTATGGCCTGGTTATTCTATATTTAATTAATTCAAGTCATAATTTAATGTAATTTAGAGTAGGGATTTTGTTTTAGAGTTCAAATAGTAGCCTTCTTTGGGGGGGGGGGGGGGTGTGTGTGTGTGTGTGTGTGTGTGTGTGTGTGTGTGTGTGTGTGTGTGTGTGTGTGTGTGTGTGTGTGTGTGTGTGTGTGTGTGTGTGTGTGTGTGTGTGTGTGTGTGTGTGTGTGTGTGTATTCATTCTAATCTTGGTTTATTTTATCACTGGAAAAAACCTGTTGGAATGTAAAGTTTGGGTGTGAAATACTGCTCCTATTGAAATCAATGGGAATTTTACTGCCAGCTTCAGAGGGGTCAGAATCTCAATCCAGGACTACAAAACAAAGACAGACAAAAGAAACCACATACAAAGCCAATTATTCAACAATAATTGATATCTTTATAAATTCTTTGGTAAATAAAAAAAAATGCATAAAATGTCAGGCCTCCTTTCAGCAAGACGCATAAGCCTGTTCTTCAAGTACATGTGTAGACCCATTAACTTTATCCACCCCTACCCCCAAAAAATACCCCCCAGCACCCCCTCCCCCAGAATCCACCCTCCAAAAAATAAAAACAACAACTGCTCACATGCTTAAATACTTTGGTGAATCAGGACCTTAGTATCTTCCAGGCAATCTGTGACATACTGGAAAATATAGTCTTTTGTTAAATAATCTTTAAAAATTTTCTGACTCTGTTATGCACCATAAAATGTTTTGTTTTATTTTATGTTTTGTTTCCTGTAACTTGGGAAACATTTTTTTACAACAGAACTCTTTGGTTTCTAGGAAAAACTAAAGTATACATAACATTATGGACTTTCTTCATTTAGAAAAACGTGTAATATATACAATGTCTTATACTTTATCCTTATAATACGTTTTATACAAAGCCTGTTCAAGTAACAAGACATTGTCAGTATTTCCTTTGATTATTTCATTAAAGAAATTTAAGTACTAAGTTGAAAGGGTAATTCTATTTACAATTTATTTTGAAAGCATTTTTTGTCAGCTAGAGCAATATTTTCAGTTAGTTGGTTTTATTTTTAGCAAGTTCAGCAAACTCAGCCACACATTAAAAATTGCTAAGATAGCAATGTTATATTTGATTTGATAAGTGTAGGAATTGCAAAAATTTCTTTTAATGACACATTTCCACTATCTTTAATTGAATGTTTGTTAAATGAATAATATAAAAAGTGAAGTAAAATGATGTGCAGCTATAGTACTAGCAGTTCCTGAAGAAATAACACAGGACTCAAACAGATGCACTCCAAGCTTTACCCACTGCTGAAAAGTAACCAGAGGATTTTGGTTAAATGGTCAGGGATTAAGTACTGTTCACAAGATCTTTCCTCAAATGTTCATGACTTCAGAATTAATGCATTGTTATAGAAATGATTGAGGGAAGTTTTAAACCTGCCCTAGAGCTATTTTTCACAATGTCTATGTACCCTGTAAAACAGAAAAGAATAGGCACTGGATATCTATTTTTTCATTCATAGGTTCTTAAATTAAAAATTTAAACTTTACACTAATAGAGGAAGACATTTGGGTTTTGTTTGTATGACTACCAAGCAGGTAGTTACTCATAGGATAGGTTGCATACTAACTGGTTATATTGCACACATCCAATAGAGTAGATTAAAGAAACTTCTGGAACTTTGTTTCCAAAAAAAAAAAAAAGACTTTAGCGGTATATACTTAAAGATTGTCTCCACTAGATGCAATAGTAGTACAGTTTATGTCCTCTTTGTAAATAGGCTGGAATACCTTTCAACAAAAATGTCTATGCATTTACTCGCAGTTAAATGTTTTAGGTGGCAGATCCATTGTGCTGTACCTCCACGTAGTAAATGGAAGTCCTTGCCTGAATTAATTTAAGGCTAAAAAGGTGAGTCGTAACAGGCTGAGGCAGCAAAGAGAGAGCAAAGTGGGGGTGGACAAAACAGTGGCAAACAGTAGCAGTTTGGCTCAGACTAACTTTTTATTTCATTTTAGCCAGTCAGTAATTGAAATTTGTCATCAGAAAGTAACAAGTGAGCTAGTATGTTATATTTTTTGCTCATTCCTATGGCCCAAAGGGTGCATCTACATGTTCGTTAATGCTCAGTGGTTACTGCACCTTAAATTTAGTACTTGTATAATCAAGTACTAAATTAATGCACAGTAACCAGACTTACTGCACAATAGTGCCAGCACTCACCTTCTTAGTGATGCTACTGTGCAGTAGCCTAATAATACCATGCAGTAGCATATTAGCACTGTTTGTGGTATGATGCGGTACTGCACAGTATTATTAGGCTACTGTGCAGTTAGCATCTCATGTAGGCATACCCAAAATGTCTGAAATTTCACAGAATCTCATCTCCAACAGTTGAATATTAGTCTGCAAAGAAAATAAGGCTGCATTAGGGTTATCTACCAAATTGCAATATGGTATATCTGTGACCTTCCTCCTTCTTCCTCAGTAAAGATTTTCTACTGTGTGAAGTCAGAGAATGTAGAGATTATATCTTTTTTGTAAGCCAACCACTAGAGGGAAATAGAATCAAACATACTTGACTAAGCCTGACATTTTATTCAGTGGAATCAGCACATTGCAGTTATACATAGGGGTTGAAGAAGTAGTGTGAATTCCTAGTGTTTCTGTTTTTTAAAATTGTAATATAAATTCTGCTTCTAAAAATAATGGTAATAGTGGTCAATGCAAAAATTTAAAAAATGAATAAATACTTTATTATGACTTTTTCTACCTTTTTCTTTTAGGGTGTGAATAATTTTGTGCAATACAAATTTAGCCACTTACCATCAAAGGAAAGGCAAACAATAGTCGAGCTAGCTAAAATGTTTTTAAACCGCATTAACTACTGGCACCTGGAGATACCATCTCAACGAAGATTGAGATCACCTAACGATGACATTGCTGGCTATAAAGTAAATTACACAAGGTAACTATGCTTTGCTTTAGTTTTTCACTTTCAAAGTATAGGTACTGATCCTATAGATATGCCAATGCAAGCTTTTACAAACAGAGTATTTTCCTGTAGACCATATTGGCCTCAAGAAACTCACCACTGTTACAAGGCACTGCATACGTGTACTCCTGTTTATAGAAGTGGGGTCTTATTTAGCAAACCATATACATAGAACAAGTAGGTACTGATGTACATATTTCAAAATTATGAAATTTTGGAATGGTTTTTGTCAAGTTAACTTAAATCTGATTGGATGCTTGAATGTTAGGTCCTTATTTCATGAAGCAGAAGTTCAGACAAACTTAAACTGTTGTTGAAAACATTTTTATAAGTTTTTGTTGCTTAAAAACTTCAGAGTTATTTTCCATCAGATATTTAGATATCAGTATAACATCAATTCATACTCTACTTAGTCCTACTGTTTGATAACCCCTTTAGTGCCCTAATACAGCTACCGTCATGTAAAACTTAAGTTTGCGAAGGCAAAACCCATTATAGAGGGAGTTGCTAGTAAATTAAAAAAAGAACATTAAGATGAGATTTAATAAGAGGAAGTGACTTGGAAGGAAGGAGTGGTGAAGGACAGTACAGATTAGGAAAGTATTAATGAAAAGTGACATTCATTTTTACATGCACCCTGAAAAGGTGAAATATTATGGGAAGAGGACCAAGTTGGCTAATGCTGATGACACATAATTAGAGGCAGAAAAAATAGGGGAGACCAGATAAATGGGAGGTGAATAGATTTGGAGTGTGGGATGTGCAATTTCTCTGTCTGGAGCAAAAGTTCATTGTGCATCCTGAAATTTACTGAGTAGGTATTTAGGAAGATCTCGAAAGGAGTTGTCTAATTTTCAGAGGAATATCAGACCCTACAAGTGCTACTTTGCATATGTATTAAATAGTGTTATGTAGTCATTTTGTCCTTATGCAGACAGAATGGTTTGTGGATATGACAGATCAGGTTACTTACATATTTGGTTTTGCTAATTATTTGGCTTTTTTGCTACAGGTGGCTTTGTTACTGTAATGTTCCCCAGTTCTGTGACAGCCTACCTCGGTACGAAACAACACAGGTGTTTGGGAGAACACTACTTCGTTCTGTCTTTACTGTTATGAGGCGGCAACTCCTGGAACAGGCTAGACAGGAAAAAGACAAGCTTCCTCAGGAGAAACGAACACTAATTCTCACCCATTTTCCAAAGTAAGGAGTCACTGCTCACCTACTTTCAAGATGAAGCAACTATATGCACTTTTGTCTTGGGATGACAAATATGCTAAGGAGAGCAACTGACTGGTTGTGTGCAGCAGAAAGGCAACTTATTTCTATGTTCTGTGACAAATAGGTGCTACACCAGCTCATTCTGCCTTCCTTGCACTATGTGTTTGTGTGTGACTACTAGTTATGTTTAATACACTGGAAGTTTATTCTTGTAACTAAAGTTATTTGTCTTGCTCAGAGGGCTTAGTCACTAGGGGCTTCTACATGTGTGTTTTCCTGTGGAGTTGACTAACTTTGCACTAAAATACCACCATCTACACATGCAGTGCTGTTAGGCCAGAATAAACTAATTAATCCGCCATAAGGTAGTACTGCCTTACACAATTACTATCCTATGGCAGAGTTTAGTGTGTGCACCACAATGCAAATGTAGATGGTGACCAGGGCTGGGTGGGGCATGAAGGTGCTACAATGTGGGAACTGCCTGTTGGCTAGTCCCTGCCCTGTAGCACCTTTGTGGCCCAACCAACCCCTCCACAGCACGTTGAGCAGAATGGAGCAGCTCTGGGCTGGCAGGCTGACCCCTCAGGTCTCCTGCCAGCTGGAGATGTGCTGCCCTGGCTCAGTGTGCTGTGGTCCCATGTGCACATGTAAATACTGTACCCAGGAGCAATTAACCCAGGTGCAAACTGCCACAGTTTTTTCAGCCACACTAATTTCATAATTCCATTATGTTGGAATTTGTTACTGGGCACTTGTGTTTATTTTCTATAGACTATGTAAGTATTAAAGTAGTACAGTAGGCCCAGTTCTCCATAAGTTTAGGCTTAGTTCTCCTCTTACTATACTCCTTTGGCATGGACTCTGAAACCTGGTGGGATTCAACCTGGTAAACATCAAGGGCTACAGACTAGACAGGAGGGACAGAACGGAGAGGAAAGGTAGGGGTGTGGCACTATATGTCAAAGAGCAATACACGTCCTCAACAAACAGCACAGGGTCAGAGGATGAGCAGACTGAAGTGCTCTGGGTTAGCATACAAGGGAGTTGGGGGGGAAAGGGACTTAACGGTGGGTGTCTACTATCAGCCACCCAACAAGGGGGAAGAGCTGGACCAGGAATTCTCAGGTCAGTTTGTGGAGGCAGTTAGGTCAAGGGATGTGGTCATCATGGGTAACCAAAACTACCCAGACATCTGCTGGGAAGAGCAGTCAGCCAGGTCTGACTGCTCACGTAGCTTCCTAACCGAGTTACAGGACCTCCACCTAACCCAGGAGGTACACAGGGGAAATGCCTTTCTGGACCTGGTCCTGGCTACAGGCGATGACCTGGTGAGGGGTGATAGTGATCATCGCCTACTGGAATTCACCATCCAGTGCAGGGTGTCAAAGGCCTGCAGCAAGGCAGCAGCCCTGGACTTCAGGAGGGCCGATTTCAATGAGTTAAGGAGATTAGTCAGGGAGGCACTGAGGTCCTGGAGAGTAGGGGAGTAGCGAGTCCAGGACGAGTGGTCATTCCTTAAGGGGATGATCCTCTGAGCCCAAATGGTGACAATCCCAACGCGGATCAAAGGGGGCAGGTGTGCTCAAAAGCCCTCATGGCTCACCAGAGGCATTCATGAATGTCTGAAAGCTAAAAGGGAGGCTTACACCAAGTAAGATTATATCTCCATTGCTCGAGACTGTAGGGGGGCTGTTAGGAAAGCTAAGGCAGAGACAGAACTAGGACTAGCGACCAGGATCAAAGATAACAGTAAGTCCTTTTTTAAATACATAGGGAGTAAAAAGAAAGCACCGGGTAATGTGGGGCCCCTGCAGGACATGCTTGGCAATCTGGTGGTTGCACCAGATGGTAAAGCTGACTTTAACAAATTCTTTGCCTCCATTTTTCTGAGCAGGGACTGGGACGTTCCCCCCAGCGGGATTCCAAATGGACTCGGGAGAGACGCAGCCAGGCCTAGGGTCAGTGAGGACCTAGTTAGGGATCTTATGGTGGGGCTGGACGTGTTCAAGTTAGCAGGTCCAGATGATCTCCACCCCAGGGTGCTGAGGGAATTGGCAGAGGTCATTGCAGGACCCTGGCACAGCCTTACAAGCACTCATGGTGCCAGAGGACTGGAAAAGGGCCATTGTGGTCCTCATTTTCAAAAAGGGGAGGAAGGAAGACCCGGGTAACTATAAGCCCATTAGTCTTACCTCGATTCTGGGGAAGCTCTTTGAGAAAATTATCCCTGAGCACATCTGCGAGGGACTAGCAGGGGAGATTATGCTTAGGGGCAACCAACATGGGTTCATTAGGGGCAGGTCCTGTCAGACCAACCTGGTTGCCTTCTATGACCAGGTCACAAAATGCTTAGATGCAGGTGTCACGGTGGACGTAGTCTTTCTGGGAAGGCCTTCAACACTGTCTCTCACCCCATTCTCATTAAAAAATTATGCGAGTGGCATCAATGCCTGCACAGTCAGATGGGTCACAAATTGGCTGGAGGGCCACACCCAGAGAGTGGTGGTGGACGGGTCATTTTCAGCCTGGAGGGATGTGGGCAGTGGGATCCCCCAGGGCTCGGTCTCCGGGCCCTCATTGTTTAACATCTTCATCAGCAACTTGAACGAGGGGGTGAAAAGCACCTTGTTCAAATTCGCGGATGACACTAAGATGTGGGGAGGGGTGGGCATG